GGATGTAGGAAAAATCTGCAAGAAACGAGGTTTTAGCAGTTCCACTGGTCACAAGATAACTGGGATCTTTAAAAACCACCAGTGGCTTGCTTTTTTATTCAGTTGTTGCAGAGTTGTCTTGAATTTTAACCTCCTCCACCCAACATTCAAAACTACTTGGAGCTGCATGGAAGTCTGACCAAAATTTAGGAGGGAACATCCCTTAATAGTCTTCAACCTTGAAAACTTCTCTCACAGGGCCATTGCTATGAAAAAGACCTACAGCACTAGTACTGACAGGGGCTGCATGGCAGCCAAAGTCAAGACGACAGTAACTCATTTTAATTCGTATCCTTCCGTCTGCACTCCACCTAAAATTGCTGGAAGGGCTCAATGAACCCATCACAGCAGTACCTCCTGATTTTATTTTACACACAATCCAGAAAAGGATGATTTTTTTCCCCACTCCTTCCTGGAGGAATGAGAATCTGGAACAGCTGATTAACAACTTACATATGCCATGGTTGAACGCTAAGGCATGTCACTTGCAGAACAACATATTCCTTCAAGAAGATCATTCCTGAGGTGTGCACTCACCCACCCACATGCTAATTGCCTCTCAGGGCACCTATCTGATCACAGCTTCTGTAGGAATGCTGCCTATGTAAAGGGAGTGCAGTAAGAAGTCAGGCACACAAATGGAAAAATCTAATAAAAGGTATATCCAAAGGGGACTGAGTAAGCCTCTGCTAAGGGCCTTACATAACATGACTTTCAGCTGAAGGCATCTTTCTAGATGAACCAAAACAAAAAGGAACCCTTTGCAGCAGCTTTTTTCTTTGCAGATACAAACGGCAACGACTTTTCGAGGAGGGGGGGGGGAAAAAAAAAAGATTGAATCCAGTTCTGCAGTAATGTAGACCCAGCACGAGAACCATGCGCTAAACCCAGGTGTTTGCAAGTCACTTTCCCCAGCACATCAAGAAACCCACAAAATTTTCATCTGTAAAGCAGGAATCACCCATGAGGTTGGGTGAGTATATCCCCCACAACCCCTCTCCTTTGACAGCAGAGGCGGGGAGATCTCTGCCCTGCTGTTTCCATCGTCATCCGAAGGGAGATGAGCGCACCGAACACGGCACAGCGAGGGGCAGAGCCCTTCCTAACAGCATCCCAGAAGGTAACCCGCAGTCCTGAGTTCATTCTGCTGGGAATGACGCGCAGAAGCAAAGATGACAAGCCCACCACTTGAACACCAAGCAACCTGCCCCGTCCGGGCTGAGCACGGGAGGGCTGCAGGGGCGAGGCAGAACGACCGACCCCGGACCCTTGCACAACGCTGTTGTGAAAGCGCCCAACCTGCCAGCTCACCTGTGCACCGAGAGCCACCGAGGCAGCTGCACACACCCATCCCCCTCGCACTGGAGATCTCTGGGGGACACGAGCAGAGAATCGCTTCTTCCCTTACCTGCCCGACTCTTCCTTAGTTCCCTAAGAACAGGGACTACCTGCCACGCTGGAGGTGATCTCCATCTAATCCAGCAGCACGTGCCCACCAGCAAGCAAAGGCTGAGGCACGCACCGCTTGAAGAGTTTTATCCTGGGGTTCCCTCCCTGTGCACCCGCTGCCTTGCTTGGGATAAGGCTCAAAGAAAAACAACTCTAGAAGCCTGCAAGCTTCCAGTTTAATGGCGATATTCTACACTAACACTTTGCTCAGCACCAGTCACCCATAGTCCAGAATAAGCAGGCAGGTTTTCAGTGCTTTTCCCTGGTGTGTACAGTTAATGCTCTTTATCTTGACTCTTATAACCTACACACCATTAATTGACATAAGTTACAGCTTTTTTAAAATACGTGGTTCGCTCCAACGGAGGCCATCTCCCTGCAGACCAACCAACCTGTGGGAATTGCAATTTTCAGCAACTCGGACGGCGGCCGCGGCTCTTGCTGGAGCATGGGAATGGCGAGTTCCTGGCAGAGACCCTGCACATGTGCACGCAAGAAAACAGGAAGTTCAGACAAAGCATTTCCACAGCCAGCAAA